ATGCTGATGTGTAATAGTGACAAGTCACACAATAATCTTCTTTTATTTTTTTCAACTATTGACAAGTGCAGAAGCCATTTTTGGCTCTTGGGTTATACAAAAATAGGCAGTGAGCTGGTTTGGGGCTGTGAGCTATAGTTTCAAAATTCTGCCCTAGAGCCCAATATTTTTCTTACAAAGAATGTGATATGGCTGCTGACACAGTGATCTTATAGTATATAAAATTTTTTCAGTTAAATGAGGAGATAGGCTACAGTGATTTCTTCTCCACACTTTTGCTTTTTCTAGATTTGAGTTACTGTAAGTCACCCATGGTCTGAAAATATTAAATGGAAAAATCCAGAAATAAACAATTCATGTGCATTTTCAATTGCGCATCGTCCTGAGTAGTTCCATGAAATATCCTGCTCTGTCCTGTCCAGGATACAAATTACCACTTTGTCCAGTGTGTCCTCTCTGCATACCTGTCCCTTTGTCACTTCGTAGCCATCTAGGTTATCAGATGAACTGTCATGGTGCCATAGTAATTGTATTCCAGTAACCTTTATTCTACTTACTAAAGACCTCAAAGTGTAAGAGGAGTGGTATTGTTGTTGCGTCAGGGTTCCCAGGGAACTTGTTTCCGGGTTCTTGGTATCTCGAACAAAGAACTGACCGACATGCTCAAAAGAAGTAACAACAGTAAGATTTATTACAAGCAAAAAAAGCAAAAGTACACTGTGCAGGGCAAGATCATGCCAATGAGAAGAGCTATGGCCCTTGACAGGGGCAGGGACTGGGTCTCTTTATGTTCTGGGAATACGGGAGGTCCTAAGGCTGGAGACTGATAGCAGTCATGGCCCAGTGGGGCTCCTGATTCAGCTCTCCCATCAGGATGGGGAGTTTTTGATCCTGGAAGGTTTTTAGGGGAAGTATCTTGGTGTGCAAAGCCCACTGTGGGTGGGGAGGACCAAAGCCTCAATGCAAATGAGGCTGGTCGAAGGCCAGGGTCATGTACTATTGGATTTGTGCATGCCTGAGGGCCTTGAGGAGAGGACTGGGTGTCTGTTGATGTTCTCATAATTTGATGTCGTTGTCTTGTGCTGGTTTCTCAAGTCTTGTCCCACAGCTTTCTGTTGTTTACTTGTCCTTGCTCTACCTCCTACCTCAGTGCTGGCAATTTCACTGCAATGTGCTCATTATTGATAATCTCTTACAGTACTTCATTTATAAATTCAACTCCCCCATAGATTTGTATGTAAAGGAAAAAGCAGAGCTCACAGAGGGCTTGGTATTGTCCTCTGCTCAGCCGTCCACTGGATGAACTTCCACAGAGAAGCAGGGACTATTGTAAAATTACAATCCAAGTAACTTGGAGTATTTGACCAAAACCCCACTGCTTTCCTTTTTTGTTAGATTCATGCAGAAGAGCATTCTGAATATGTGGCAAGCATTCTTGTTTCCAAAATTACATGATTTACGATTTTTATTAGGAATTAACTAACAGAAGGAGTCAGCTATTAACTTCGTCTTGTTTGATAAGGACAAATGGTTGCAATAGTCCCATTTCCCTCACTTCCGTATGAAATCAGTGCCTTCTTGTATATCGTGGGGTTGGACTCCAGGACCAGAGGTGATAAAGGACACTGATCTCCCTTCTGACATTGGAGGTATCAGACTTTAGATGCATTTGTGGTTTTAATCTTCCTCCTAAAGCATATCTTTCCAATGCTTATAGCATTCACTTATTTAAAAGTTAAAAATTTAGTACATTTATAACATCATGAAACAACTATTTAAAACTGTTTTAAAACAGAGAATTGGTATGTTAGAGAATAGAATACTGGGATTGTTTTCAGCAGTCCGTATGAAACTTACAGGGAAAATATTGGGTTTTCTTTTCTTTCTTTTGAGACAAGATCTTGCTATGCTGTTCTGGATGGTCCCCAACTCTGGGCTTTATTGATCCTCCTGCCTCAACTTCCTGGTAGCTTGGAGTACACATGTGTGCTACTAGTTTACTCAGCTAAAGATACTGGATTATATAACCTTGCTTATAATCTCTGAATGAATTGCTTGAAAATTAGTGTTTTAAAAGTCTTGGCATTCTTCTATGTTATTGCAGAAGATAACATTTTCTCTACATTTCATAAGAGAAAGACTTGGCTATATTTTTCCTCTATCATATCTTTCCCTTTGATTTTTTTTGCTAAACTTTATTTGATCATTTTGGCTGTTTTCAAGGACTACATCTCCTTGACTGAAGTAACAACCATTGCAATAGGAATTTGTTTACTCATTGTCCATTGGCTTGCTGGCCCTATTGTTTGTATACTGGATTGTTCTCTCAAATTTCACAGATCTCTTGGGACTGAGTAAAACAGTTGTGTTCTTGACACTGAAGAAATTCCTACATAGATAAATGAGGCCAGATGAAGGGTGCAATATTGGGTTTAAGGTCTTCCAAGGACGGAAGGGAGACTGTACCATGTATGTTCCAGGTCTAGGTGGAAACCCAATTGTCTTTTATGCAGATATGTGGCATTTTTCTTGCAGTTTGAGCATCAGTAGGAATGAGGAAGTAACCAGGAAGGCTTGAAAGAGACTCAAAAATATAACAACTTATGGAAAACCTCATTGTTTACCTAGAAAATTTATGATAATTAATCCTTTTGTGTGTGTTCTGGGGATTGAACCCAGGACCTCTCATATGCTGAGCATGATTAGCGTGTGCATTATCACTAAGCTAATTTCCAGCTCTGATAACTAACTTTACAAAATTATTGGATGCCATGAAAGTGGCTGGACCTGAGATCAGCATGAACCTAAGCTAATAGTTTTATTTATCAACAATAACAAATCCTAATGTAATTAGTGAAAAAGAAAGAGCCCATTCATCATAGCCATCAACTACCAAGGAATAAATCTGTATGGAATGTATGAGTTCTATTTGTAGGAACCTATGGAACTTCAGCAACAAACAATCAATCAAATAAACAAAAAAGACTTGAGTAAACCACAGTAGGCTGTGTTCTTCCATGGGGAGATTCAAAACCTTAAAGATATTAATGCAACTTAATGTTTGTCTTAGTCACTTTCTCCTCCTTAGGGCACAAAATCTACCTCCCACAATTTAAGGGAAGAGAGCTTTCTTTAGCTCACGGTTTCAGTCCAGGGTTGGCTGGCTCCAAGCGGAAATAGCATGGCAAAGGGACATGGTGGGAGGAAAAAACGTTCAACCTCTGGCAGCTAGGAAGCAGAAAGAGAAGGGAGGATCCTGGGAGGAGGATACATTCTTCTAGCACCCACCTCTTCCAAGCAGACCCTTCCTTTAGCCATTACACCCCCACATCCTCTGAACACATGAGGCTTTTGGAGGACATCCTAGATCTGAACCACAATGTCAAAGATGAAATGTACTACGAATTAGCCCCCAACACCCCTAACTAGCTGGTCCTAATATTTAATGAGAAAGATCTGTCTTCTGAGATATCAAACATATGATAAGGTTACAGTAAGTAAAATTGTATAGTATTATTGTAGAAATAGTAAAACTGTCAATAAAATAAACACTTTAATGTATATGGGAATTGAAATATGGTTAAAGAGATCATTCAAATTGGGGAGGGGAAAGGATGTACCTCTTCATGGTGTGGGAACAAGTGGCTGTAGGTAGATCCATTTCTTATGCCATGTACATAAGCAAATTTTCAGATTGAATTAAAAATTCAAACCCGGGAGAACTAGTAGGAGGAGCCTGGTAAATGTGTGTCCAATGAGGACATGGTGTTTGGAGCGCCACTGCCCAGGGAGCTCTGAGGTTTTCTTTACAGAATGGAATCTCAGGCTTCCCAGAGGTGACCCCCAGGTTGCTCAAGGTGGTGGCGGGGGGTGCCCAGCTGGAGAACCTAAAGTAAGGGTGGTCAGTGCAGCAGTGACTGGTGGGAGCAGAGCTGGTCCATTTTTCATGCCATGCGTGGGACGTCCTGGGATCCCGCACTTGGTGGTTTGGAAGGTGGTGTGCAGAGTGGGAGGGGTTGGGGGCTCCTCTGAGCTGCTGTGAGCACCGAGCAGAGTGAGCAGGCAAATGAGTTCCAGATCTGTCCCAGGCTCAGAGGCCCATAGGTGCTGAGCGTGCAGCTAGCCTGAGGGGCCAGTCCTAAAGAGACAGCCTCACAGCTGCTGGCCACTCTATTCCCACACAGTTGCATTTTAGTTACAGTTGCAGTTTTGAGACTGGTGTCATTATATTGTCCAGGCTGGTCTTGAACTCATGAACTGCTTCAGACTTCCCTGTAGCTGAGAATACAGGAGTTTAACCACGCTTGGCTGCCAGTTGCATTTTAAAAATTCATTCCTGCACCCCCAGAAAAATAACACCTTGAAATAGGGCAATGGAGAAAAAAATGCCTGCACTGAATTTTGCTATTTCAAGCAAGTGCCAGCTTGAACATTTAATAAATAAAAGGGTTAGGTATCACCAAAAGAGGCACATTACAGTTTTCAGGGAAAAAAAATCGGGAAGACTTTGAAATGGACAAAAAAATTACTGAATGTCCTGTGTTTGTGTGTGTCCTTGACTGTCTCGAAGCTGCTGTTCAACCACGTACTTTTTTGAAAAATGGTTAATGGGAACTATTTTTGTCTAGAGAAATAGAAGCGGGAGAAAGGCGGCACGGGAAGTGGGTGTAACACAGGGTCGGTCCAGGCGCACCAGGCCCCATGGCAAATGTTTTTCAGGATTGCCGTTTCCCCCCACCAAAATAAAATAAAGAGCAAAACCAAAATGAAACGAAATAAATACTCTTGGGGCTGGTGAATAACGTGGGAGGGTGGGAAGAATGGTAGTTGCAAATCGTTTGAGACCAGGGTTTAGTAGTTAAGAAGGGTACTGGGCCATGGCCAGGGGGAGGAGTGAGGGCAATCTCGAGGGAGAGGTCTAGGTGGGGCAGCCCCGGGGGAGCCCCAAGGAAGGCGATAGGAGCCCCGGAGGCGGGGCACTGCTCGGGCAGCGCGGGAGCATGGAGGTCAAGGACACCCGCGGAGCCGCAGGTGAGGGGCTGGAAGGTGAGGGGCGAGCAAGTGATAAGCCGCAGGTGAGGGGCTCGAATGGGAGGGGCGCGGTGCTGCCAGGCCTGCCGCCGCCTCTACCTGCGTCTAGGATTTCAATGGCTGGGCCCAAGGAGAGCTCTGTAAACAGCCCTGCAAAACGGGACGTAAACAGCGGTGGAGGCCTGGGCCAGCTTCCCGGAGCGGGCGCCAGAGCGAAGCGAGCCGCACACCTGTCAGCACCCGCGTCCTGTCCGGAGCCCGCGGGGCTCTCGTGTTTCGCGCCGAAGCGTTTTGGTCTGGAAACTGCCAGATTTGAACTTCCCCAGCGCTCCAGCCCTGGGGGAGGGTGGAGTGGCCGAGCTCTCCGCCTTTCTGCAGCCTCCGTGGCTTTGTCTGGAAGTGGAACCGCCCGGCGGGGGAGAATTTAGCACTGCAACTCGGGTTAGGATGCCCCTCCCAGAGGCCTCCAGCCTGGACCACCTGGCAGGCCCCAGGTCTCAGGACCCCGGCTGGGTGCCAGTTCCACCCCAGTCTCCTGGCAGGGGCGGAGGGCCCCCCCCTCCCGCCCCAGCCATCAGGGGATCTTGGATTTGAAGACATACCTAGCCCTGGTCCCCTATCCGGACAGCTACACAAAGGGGTCCACTTCTGAATCCAAGATACGGACAAAACTCCAAAGGGCTTTCTTCTAGTCGTGCAGAGGAGCCGCATTGGCTGGGGTGGAGTAGGCCCAAGAGATACTGAGGAAGGGCCTCGAGCCCTCCTGCACCTGCCTCTCCTTCCTGTGGGGCCGGGCTGGAAGGGCGCCATCCTTGGGTCCCCTGCACTTGCATGTGGCCTGCTGCACCTCACCAACAGTCAAAGCACAGACTGTCCACCGCCTCTGGCCACGCATCTCTGTAAGGGAAAAGTAAGTCATCCGGAGGCACCTCTGCCTTGTCTTGGAAACCAAAGGCAGGAGCAATTATTTGCTTTTATGTCAGGGATTGAAAGCCTGTGAGTGGGCTGTTTTTCTCCTAATTTTAGGTGAAAGAGTTGAAGAGACAAGGTAGCCGCTGGCCAATGATATGGATTAGTAACAGCCTTTGCCAGGGTTTTATTTAGTTGGCCTAGAGCTTAAGAAAGGTTTTTACTTGGGCCGGGGACTTAGCTCAGGGGCACCGTGCCTGCCTTGCAAGAGCAAGGTCATGAGTTCGATCCCTGGTAACAAAAAAAAACAAAAGAAAAAAAAAAAAAGAAAGGTTTTTGCTTTATTTTTGGAGAGGGAGATACTCTTTCTCTTTTATTTTTGTCCTGTACTTCTCTCTAGAGAGTTGGTCCTAATGGCTCAGATAGTGAGTGCTGTTTTCATGTTGGACAAGTGGACCAGGAAAAAACTGACTTGCTATTTTGATCACTGTTGTCATCTACAAAACGAAGACACTGGCCAGGGATTTAGCTCAGTGGTTCTGCCACCTGCCTCGCAAGGTCCCGAGTTCGATCCCTAGTACCCCCCCCAAAAACCCACAACAAAGACGCTCCTTGGGGGCACAGTGTGTGCAGTACGATGCATTTCTTGGAGGTGCTGGTCCTTGCCAGCGGACCCCTCCCTTCCCCTCCCCTTGGTGTGATAACCACGAGTCAGAGCCTCGCTCCCTGCTGTTGCTGCACTCTACCCGGTCTCAGTGCATTTTAAGGGGAAAAGTAACCGGTTTCATCTTCAAGAAAAGTAGAGTTGGCCTGAAAGAGTTTAAGCATTTTCCTGTACTTATTCAATGTTTGCTGTGGTTTTTCTGGTCACCAATGGCCCAAATGACACAGAGCAGTTGCACATTAATCATTTCCACATGTGCTAGATCCTAATGGATTGGAGTTTTGCGTAGTTGACCCCTTGCCCAAGCTTTGATAGCCCATTTCCAAAAATGGTTTGGGCAAGTCTAGCCTGTTTGGGAAAACTGTTTCTTTCAGCAAGGAAGGATCACACTAAGAATTATGCTTTCAGGGAAGGCTGCATCACAGACCCTGCTTAGCTTTAGTTCTAAAACACAGGAAAAGGCGTGCACCCTTCCTGAAGCGCTCTGCTGCGTGACTTCATGAGGAGCCTCAGTATAGGAGTCTCCTTTCTTGAGTGTACTATCCGAAGGGGACTCTGGGGGACCCCACCATAATTCAAGTCTTCTTGATATGCCTGGGCCCTGCCCCTTCTCTCCATTGTAGAGTGTGTACATGTTTTTCATTTCCCTGATGTTGAAGATCTTCTTAGGTTCCTCTGGACCATCTGTTGCTGTTACTTCAGTTTAGAGGATAGAGGAAAGAGAAGGATGTCAGATGCAGCCCAGTACTGTTACTGCCCTCGTCTTTTACCTTGAACTTCCCTCCTCTGGAATAAGGACTTCACCTGCCTTGTAAGGATCAGATGACACATACCAGCCAACTTGTGGGCCCATTGTTTCACTGAGAGTGGATGCAGGGAAGGGCATTTATTTTGACTTTGGTGTGTCCTAACAATTTGCACTGGTAATAAAGCAGAGAGGGCTGGTGGACAAGAAAGCCAGAAAGCAGAGGGGCATCACAGAGGAGAAAGAGTTCATGGCGTGGCAGGCAGAAGGCAACAACAGCAAACTGCAAGCACCAAGCCTCCCTTTCCCCTCTTATTCCATCCAGGCTACAAGCCTTTCGGGTGGCACCACCCACACCCAGGTTGGGCCTTCCCATTATCATCACCAAGAATTATACTAATTCCAATCAGTGGACTAATTTAATGCCACACAACATTAATCCCAGGATCATATGCCCTAGATCTAGTCAGCTCTGGAAAGCCCCACCTCTGACTTCATGAAGCTTTGGAGGGAGTATCTAGCTACAAGTCATAACAACTTCCTGTTTCTGAAGACTTCTTCCTATCTCTGATGGAAGACATGTCCTGAAACATCCTAAATCACTTCATCTCAATTGTATCACATTCTCCCCGATGCCCTCGGATGCCTTTGTGGGCATCACCACTGTCACTGTTCTACCCTACCCAAGCTTCTGGGTTGGCCTTGATTTTCCTCCTTGCTTTTTGCTCTGATTTCTATGGTTTGCCTCGGGGAAGAAGAATTCTAGCTGGTATCATGATGGGCAAGAGGTAGGGGGGCAGGAGAAGGTCAGTAACCTTGGTTCAGGGGCCTTCCAATGCCCTTTAATTCAAAGCACCCACAATGCCCAAGCACCATACTTTGGGGCGTCATGTTTTGAGCCCCAGCACAGACAAAGTGAAAGACCAGAAAGTAAAGAAGCCATGGGCAAGGTCTGATGGGGAGGAAGCCTGAGGCAGGTGGAGATCTGGAGTAGCCAGAAGGGGACCCAGAGGAAGGGAGGGTGGGCATATCACAAAGGCCTCTGAATGAGACCAGGCCTAGCTGCTATTTCAAAAGGAACAAGAAAAAGGAGAAGGCCCAGCATGAGGGTGCAAAATGTGGCTTCCCTCTTGCATGTTTGGGCAGAGGAGCCTTGAGTTCATTTAATAAACTCACCTTTAGGGGCACTTTATGCCACATATGGTGTTCATTGAGCCCTTTGCAAGCATTAGCTTAATTGATCTTTACAATAAACAGTAAATAAATATACTGTTACCTCCATTTTAGTGGTGAGAAAACTGAAGCACAGAATTGAAGTAAGGTCACCTGGCTAGTAGCAGTATTGGGATTCAAGCGGGAATGGTTGGAAGGGTTTGGGGGTGTTGTTCAGTAGTAGAGAGTGTGCTCAGAATGTGCAAGACCCTAGGTTTCACTGCCAGCACCACAAACAACAACAACAACCAATCAAATGGAGGTTGTTGTTGGTAGTGGTCTGAGTCCCAGAGAACAGAATCTGTCTTGAGGTCAAGGTTCAGAGGGGACTCCTCAAAAAAAAAGGAAGGCCAGGAAGGAAATAATTCATGAGCCAGTCAATTCCTTAAGTAAATCCTTCAGGGATGCCCTCCTTTTATCATAAAACTTAAAAGAAATCAAATACTCTCTGCTATTTTGGATCTTCACATGTAAGTGTCCTCCTAGGACCTGGAAAGTCTGGAGATTTCTGTTCCTGGGTAGAGCACGTCACTGGGGACAGTGGGTGGCTGCTGGTGTGGCTGGCCAGACTCATGTCACTGCCATTGGTTCTCCTTGTGGCTTTCGCCGAGCCTCCTTTCATCAAAAGCGAAGGGAAAGGATGAGGTGGTCTCTTAAGAGTCTACCTGACCATGGGGGTTGTCTGTCGCCTCCTACCTGAGCAGATACTGCTTCCTCTTAGGGCAGGACCCTTGTTGATTTTTCTGCCTAGTGCCCCGAGCTCCATGTGTGTAGAATGGAGGAAGCACTTCCTGTCAAGTTCTGGTTAAGATCTTTGTTGTTTCTGCCTCTGTAAAAATGGATTGCTAGGAGGAGTTTTCTGCAGATTGTATGTCGGGAAGTGGGGTGATGTAAGCTGGCCTGCCACCCCCTGCACAGAGTGCAGACACTTCCCTCCCCAGAACTGCTATTCCTCTCCCTCTTTCCTATGCCATTCTCTGGCCACCGGAAGCCCTCCCACATCAACCCTTTGCTTTGTAGGATGGAGTGAATGCCCAGGTGGCTGGCACTCAACTGAGCAGTGGGTGCTGAAGTGTTATTTTCTGACCTTTGAAACCTTAGTCTGGTGACCAGCTGGCTGGCCTTCGCTGGATTTCCGACAGCAGCTGGCTCTTAGCTCCTCCGATATTATTTGTAGCTCAGTTCTGGGAAGTTTTAAACAGGATTTGTAGAAAACGGCTGTGTTTCATGCTACAGAAAGAAATTTCAGGGCAAAATTCAAGCCCTTGGTCAGATACCCCTGGGGTCATGTGACATAAATTCAGGGTGAATGTAGGGTGGGTGGAGTAGTTGCAGTTCAGTGACTGTCAGTAGCAACTGAAATCTAGAGCCTGAGTAAAGCTATCAAGACAGAACAGCTGTGATTCAGAAAAGCCAGGCCTTCTCGATAGCCCATCCTGGTTTGTGGTCTGCCTTTCCAAGGCCAGCGAGCAGGGCAAGCTTGGA